CCAGTGCGTGAGTCACTCAATTACTGTACACAGCGACTTTCTATCGCTTTCCGTTTGCGTGCGCCTCTTCGAGGTAATGCCTCTTGTATAACATTCGTTAAAATAGAAAAGTGCTAATATTGTCCTTCAAAGGTAAATGTCCAATGTGATATAGCGTGGGTAACTTTGCATAAAAATGTTAATGTTACTGTAAATATTTTGGGGCTTCAATTACTTATTCGTTTCATGTAGGTATGAGCTTTGTTAGTGTTTTTTTTTTTCTATTCCATTTTATTTCGCTTAGAAACGTTGAAAGTCTCATTATATCCTTGTAAGTGAAAAAAAAATTTTACTAAAAGTTTTTTTTAATGAATAATGAGACAAGAAACTAGGGTAATTATTGTATTTCCTGCTGTTAGAATGAGACTATTATGTTATCTAAGTATGCACCTACCGCGCATTTAATGTATCAGTTACGTTCCAAAAAATGATTCTTTTCAATTCTGATTAATTGATCAAGACTCTGATAATATGTTAGGTAATGAGATGTCGAACAAGTGACGTGGTCACGCAGAGTTAACGAGGGTAAATACAAAGACTAATAAAAACACATCAGACTTATGAGTCACTGGTACTCTTAAGCCATAGAGTTGTAGTGTCAGTAAACTAAAAACGTGACGTTTTGCTTTGTCTACAAACAATTGAGACAGGTGTTTTTATCATATAATCGACATTCATAAAAGTGATGACACATACATCTACAAAATCCAATACAATTTTATGATAATATTAAAAGTCGATTTAACAATTGTAACTGAAATAAATGCCGCAATAACAATTGTTTTTGCATTTGTGTACAATACACGTGTTAGCAGCTGATATGTTACTTGTTAAACACCTAATGTAGGTGTAATAAAGTACGAGAAAAATACATCAATCACGTCCGTTCCAAAAAGAAAGTGAATTCATTGGCAGGGCCGGGCGTCGTGAAGTCTGGCGTTCTTTTGCGTCACTAGCAAAAAAGACGAGTCGTATGTAATGAAAGTCTGATCGAAAGTTGTCCAATATGTGGGGCACAAAGCCACCAGTCCGGCTTCTTTTAGCCGTGCGCTAACTCGATAAAATTGATGAAAGTACAACCCTGTGCTATGCCAGTGATTAATGGTGCCCCTCGGTTTGAGAACAAGCAAAAAAAACAACCGTGAATTTAGATTTTCACTACATGTAAGGTGTATTAAATTAATTTCAATGTTGTATATGAGTCATATTCTGTTATCGCTAAATATACCTCGAAACTTGTACGCTATTTTGTGTTCATACATGTTTTAATAACTACTAACATATTTACTTTTCATAAAGTAATGCGTAAATACATAAATACTGTTAAAATATGTCCTTTTCACTTATCCCTGTGCTTACTGATAGATGATTACTTCACACTGTTATGTATTGATATACATTAATAGACATTACACTCGATGCTATTATGTACGAGTATAACGATCGAGCTAAGTCGGATTGTAACCTACTCGAGGCGTCAAACAATTTATGGCTTTTATAAATATGGACCCTATCTAGGTAGATAGGTAGATAGACCCTCACAGGTGTTCGAATTGAAATATTATTTAATTATATGTAATACTTTTGATAGTATTTCTGTTGTTTATCCTTCTTCCCTTTTTAAGATTAATACTATTTATAAGGAAACCTTGCGATTTCACTGCCATCAGTCGTCCCGACTGATTGTGTGGTGGATGCTAAAGGGTATCTTCCATCATCTGATTTTTAAGTTTATTTTTATTTTTATGTCAATATTGGTCTACTCAGCGATTGAGAAAATTACCCAGTCATGTTCTAGTACCAAAGTTTAGTGTTCTGATCTTGTCCAATCAGAGCAGGTCCCAGACTAAGAACTTGATTATTGCATAATCAAGTCCGATAAATTCGATCCCTTTGATACTTAAAATTATATCGAAGGATAGAATTAGGTAACTTTCTTTCATCCTTAAACTTATACGGTCATTTTTTAGAAAGGGTGGCATTTACTCAAAAAGGTTCATCGGAAATCTCTTTACAAATAGGGGTGGAACTTTCGGCTAGTAGTCAGGTGTTGAATATTTTTAGGGTTCCGTACCTCAAAAGGTAAAAAGGAACCCTTATACGATCACTTTCTTGTCCGTCTGTCCGTGTGTCAACACCGATTTTCTCAGTAATGGGTCGACCTAGAAAGTTGAAATTTATACCAGATACTGAGGTTTATGGTCCCTATTAGGTGTATAAAAATCAAGGACCTGAGTCAACATGATAAAAAGATATGGTCAAATTTCGATTTTCCTGTATGATACATGTACCTTAATTTTAAACTTTTACATTTTTCAGAATTTTCTCTTTAGTTTTGCTGTAAGACCTTGCTTTTAACTAAATTGACAATTCTAGGTCAACCGGAAGTAACCTATAGGTTTTGGGTCAAAACCCCATACGGTAGTTCCCGTTGAACTAAAATCACGAAATTTGACAAAAAGAAACGTCTTACAGCACAAATAAAGGAATAATTCCAAAAAATAAAAAAGTTTAAAATTAAAATAAATTTTGGTACTTACAAATTTTCGCGAAAATCTACGTAAAATCTGGGTAGGTACGGAACCCTCGGCGCACGAGTTCGACTGGTACCTGACCGGTTTTTTTACCTGTGCTCATACAATTATACATAGGGAATGAAAAACAGGAAAAGAAATCTCTAAGGCAACAATCAACTGCTATTATTTAACTATTTAAGTGATCGGCCTCGCAATTAGGAAGTTTCTATATTTGAATGCATCCGTTGATTATTCTGTGATGCGAAATGACTTCTTAGAAATTTAGAAGTAGGTATGCTAATTATGCGGTATCCATTTTTGACGCTGATTGGTCTTGAAGGAAAACTTTGATTTCCTAAAAGTTTCTAGTTGTACGAGCCTGTCTAGCATCCAATATTCGAAATCCAATGTATCCTATCTAAGTTTTTTTCCTTTGCTATCCTTACATTCTAAATAATAGTTAATGGATTTAAAATCAGAGGACTTAGACCGAGCAGCCTAATATTTTTTTCCTATCTTCTGATTGATAGACGAACGGTTATTGCACCTGTTATCTGAACTATTAGTTTACTTTTTAAAGAAGTTTAACACTTTCTCACAAAGCCAAAGACATGGTTTTAAATTTATCGTTTCGACATGATCCAGAGGCGACATAAAAAATCTGGCACTGTACCTTTATTACCGTTATTTCAAATACCTATATTTTTTATCCTTCCGTGAATATATATCGTTTTTGACTAGAAGTTCACTGACGTATTTCACTGATTGTATGACAAAATCAATTTTAGATAAAATCGCTTATTAGTTCTTACACACTTTATGCGTGGAAGTCGATGTGACAATGTTACGTTCATTTGACTTTGAAATGTTGCGTAAAAAAGAGTTAAAAACTTAAATCACTCGCAGTGAGTTCTGCTGCTGTTCTTAGGCTCGGCGGTGGCGCAATTTTGCTCTATAGCAATAACTACATGTACCTGTTCTATTGTGTTTCGACACCTGAGAAATTATTTACAAACCTACAACAATTTTCACGTCGGCCATGTAAATTATATTTTGGTACGTAATGTGTTGTAATTGTCTATCTTTATCTCGGCAAAAATCTTTGACAACGGAAGTAATAAGATAACGTGTCATATTGAAAATATGCCTCTGCGTTGAGTTTGTAAATAAATATGGCGACTGGCAACTACACGGATGGCGTAGTGGTTTAAGCGGTCGCCACGCCGCTTCCTACTGCGTCGAGTGTTGTGGGTTCAAACCACACATGGGACGACACTTTGTGTGATCCACATATTGTTGTTCTGAGTCTGGATGTTTTTTGTGTCATGTATGTTTGTAAAGTCCCTCGCGACATAGGATATATTCCTAATGCCGGCGTTGTCTTTTAAAAATAAAAAAAAGTGTTAGGTGAGAATTTGATAGTATATACACATACACACATAAGAATTAGTGACTTTACCGGCTCAAATCTAAAATTGACTCTATTTATCTCAATTGAAACATGTTAAATACATAGTTATTACATGAATAAAGCTCAAGATCTAATTTTATACCATATTCCTCTTTCTTGTCAGAAGGGATATGGTATAGTAAATTAGATCTTTAGCGTCCTTCTTCCTATAATTTTAAATTATATTTGCGATTATTATTTAGAGGGCAGACTAGCAGACAGGTCACCTGATGGAAAGTGACCATCGCCGCCCATGAACGTCTGCAACTCAGGAGTAACAAACGCGTTGCCGGCCTTTTAGGAAGGAGTATGCTCTTTTCTTGAAGGTCGTATCGGTCTGAAAATACCGCAGACGATAGCCCGTTCCATAAGGGAAATTCAATTCAGAAACTTGTTGATAAACTCGATAGAGAGGGCCCGTGGTCACCTTTGTATCACGAATTTAAGGCAAATAGATCAATCGACCTTGCATACATACAGAAAATCAAAATTAATAACAGATATACCACAGGAGTAGAACAAACAGCAGAATATCTTTTAGAATCACTCGTACCTGACGATCGGCTGGAAAACGACACTGATCATCACCCACAGATCAGGCAGTTGGCCATCGAACCACCACTGTCTCCAATGTCTGATTTACCATCTTCAGACGAATTTCTCGGTATCATTAGATCCTTGCTGCAAAACAAGGCTTCGGGCGATGATATAATATCTAACAAAATGATAAAAGAAGCTTGTAAACTTTCGGGTAACACGATTTTCACTGTCTTTAAACGTTGCATTGCTGAAGGAATATTTCCTCGTATATGGCGGTGCGGTAATATTCGTATAATACCAAAAAGTGGCGACAAGCCACCGGATGATCCTAAATCCTACCGACCAATCACATTGTTACCATCGTTAGGAAAGCTTTTAGAACGTCTTGTAGTGCCCCGGCTTCCGTCACGATTTTTTATAAAGATTCTTCATGAACCTGTTGTTTTGTTTTGCAGGTCGGTGACCAGCTAGTGAGCGTGAATGGATATCGGGTGGACGACGCTGTACATGCAGAGTTAGTGCACTACCTCGCCTCACAGACGAGGCTAAAGATCAAAGTTAGACGTAAGTAACACAAAAATTATTTATCTTCTAAAAACACATATTTTTGAACAGTAGAACTAAGTAATTATTACTTCTTTTCTATTTGAATCAAATGCAAATAAAACTATCGCTTTATTTTTTCTGGATTGATTGTCCCTGAAAATGATCAAGTATTAAGAAAAACTTCTCAAATACGTAAACTACTTAATAAGTTAATTATCAACAACAATAATAATTAATAAGAATATGAATACATTACTAAGTCGAAAAAAAGTATGAGATTGTTGAGCGTTGTGGTTTAAGCGGTCGCCACGCCTCTTACGCGTGATAACTTTACACTCCATAGTTATAACAATACTAATAACCGGTTTAATTAAAATCGTTAAACTACATACACAAATATATGTGCACTTGACTGCACGAATGGCGTAGTGGTTTAAGCGGTCGCCACGCGCTCGCTACTACGCTGAGTGTTGTGCGTCCGATCCCCACATGGGACGACACACGAATCCGATTCGACATACGACGTGATCCACAAATTGCTGTTCTGAGTCTGTCTGTTCTTTGTGTCCGTGTCATGTATGTTTGGTAAGTCCCCCGCGACACAGGATTTATACCTAGTGCGGGCGTTATCCTTAAATAAAATGTATTCCTGTTACAATAGTGAACCTATCTCTATTCTATGAACTATTCAGCACTCTTCTCTCAACTGAAGCAATTTGAAGTCCAATAAAGTATTAAACAGCCTTACGGTTGTCACAATAGTAATCATTTCATTTATACTATCCTCTCCGAGGCGTGAATTATTCCTATTATTAGAACTATAAGAATCAGTCCCGTTTAGAAGATATAAACCTACAAACGAAAGATGGTCATATTCGTTCCTTATTGGCTTGTGAATGACATGGCTATTTTAGCTTAGCATTTATCTTAAATAATATTACGTTCTTGTTATAAAGTAATATTATTTAAGATAAGAATTTCCGTCGTTATAGACTCCGCTTCGGGTTAAATAGAAATATTTTAACCACACATTCACGATAAAGATAAACAACAATCGATGATATAAATAGTCTCCATGGTTACAATACCGGTTAAGTTTAGTTTCCTTTCTAAGGAGAGGCCTATGTCCAGCAGTGGAGCATTCTTCTTCTTAGCGTGTCGATGACAATTCAAATTGAGTCGGCCCAAAATTTGGCGACGAGTTCGGCACTTTCAGTAGCCTCCATCAGTTCCTGTGATGTGCAAGTAACAGGACAGGCTGGACACGATGTCAAGTGCCCCATAGTTTGTGGGGCAAGACCACATTTACACTCCAGGGCAGAGTCATCTATGAATCTCCACCTGAACAGGTTTTCTTTGCTTCGGCCTACCTGTGTCCGGAGTCTGTTTAGAGACTTCCAGGTCAGCCATGGCAACTCGTGTCCAGGTGGACTCTAAAGGCTGTTGATGATGATGATCAAGTTTAGTTCCTTTATCTGGATGTCCTACTCGTAATAGCGTAAAAGGTGTTCTCAAATCCAACCTATTTAAGCAGTGGCATATTTCTGCTAAATTTTGTCTCCATATTTCAACGGACCGCTTTCTAAGAAAGCTTGCAAAGCTATTAATATTATACTATTCAAGCATATCAAATTTAAGTCAATGAACATCATTGCATTAACATGCAGCAATATATTTAAATTTTATTTTAAATGGTACTTTTTGATAGCCACGTCCCTATAAAGTCCGTCTTTCTACAGAACTTTGATATCGCCTAGTACTGTGGTTGTTGAGATCTGATGACAGTCGCTCCGCGGAAAAAAATGAACTTCAGCTGTTTCGTAGTAGACTTAAAGTAGACTCCAACCTAGTTTAGGAAAAAGGCTTGGAGGAAGATATGAAATCAATGCTTATTATTATTACCCAGTCGAAAGGTGTGTACTAGTTTCATTTTTCTGAAAATTTCTTTGCCAACAATTAGCAATTCTTTTATTTTATCCCTATCAATTCCAAATCTAAACCGTCCTATTTGATTTCTTTTCTATCTTTTCTTTTTACCGGGATTATAAATTATACTACTTATCATTCGAGTGGTACTGCATACCGCTGTAAAGTAGTAAAAAATAAAATAAATATCAGAATAAAAAGTATCAAAATCATTAACTTCAAGGAGTGTGTAAGTGCCTTTGTGTCACATTGTATTCTTTGCGCATTTTACGATTCACATTGAAAATAATATTTCTCGTTGCTAATAATAATATTTCTAATGATCTAAGTGGCTTTTTTTATCATTTTTAACAAGATACTAATTTAAAAGAGAAATTACAAAATCACAGCAAACAAGTGCAAAAGCAAGTGACCTTGTTGCTTTGCAAGGTGATTCGTAAATGTCGACACTCGGGACCCTTTATGCAACTGTCCACGAACCCTCTAGTCATCTAGTGCATCGGATATTTATTCATTCATAATTTATCTACATACATATAGCCAAGCATTATTATTCTGTACAAATAGCTTTGATATAACTATAGTCAACTCAGGTTTATATCAGAAACAGGCCAGATGACTGTAAATATAATTTTAACATAAATATCGCTTTTGTGATCATAAATGGTTATATAACTTACAGCACGCACTTCACGAGGCATTGTCGCGGCATTACGTATTCGAATCAAGTAAATGTTACTAACAACGGATAAAATTACTATAATTAATCAAATCGCTTCAAACGCAACCGGTAGTAAAGGCCGCAATGCGTTTTTATATCACTTGTGAAAGCGCGTGGGCAGCCTGGTTATGGAACGTTGTCTCTTATTTATTAGATATATAGAAATATAGAAACATATATTGCGTAAAACGAAGAACAAAAAACGTGATTCCAAGTGACAACTGGGAAGGTATCTCTAATCGCTAACTGCCAACTAAATGCAGAGTTAAAAACAACAAACTAAAGCCTTCTGAATTACCTTAATAATCTCCAGTGAGTTTATTATCAATATTTAAGGCCAGCCTAGACAAGATCATTAGATAGAGCCTCAAAGCCTAGAAAATCTCTACAAAACCGTTTAAACTCGAGGCCTTTTATGAATAACAGAAATAAAAATCGGAATGGCAATCAAACACGAATACATTATTAAAGTAAGTGGCGTGATAATCTCTTACTCTTGTAGCACTAGGTGGACCATGCGGTCAATTTTATAGTAACTTCATAAACACCAGACAGTTATTATTATTATACCAATGTAGAACAATTAAAACTTAAATCACTGAATGGCAAACTACGGCAGAGTTGTGTTACATAATATTAAATGTAATCTAATGTTTCGTATCTAAATATATGAAACTGGATAGGTCTACACTTTGCTCCTATGAATCTACCCTTTTTTTAATATTTATGTAGTTATTATGGGCAAATAGGCAACCATTTTGCTTACAGTCTTAAAAGTTTTTAAAATTAATTTAAGGTCTTTGACATGATAGTTTAAACGAGTTATTAAGTACTTTGATAAGTTCAAATGAAGCGATTACTCTATCGATTAGAGTACATAAATAATAAGATAACGTTAATGCAACTTTTTTGTTTGAGTGGAATCATCCTAAAGCTATCACTACTACAGAGGTTTTCGGTGGGCGGGTTTTCAGTTTTGGACGAAATCCAATACCGCACTATATGGCACATACTGGGGCTATCTTCCATAGCGAGTGACAGAGAAAATCCTTTCCTTCCACCGGCGGCCACTTTCTTTCAGAGGCTCTTTCTAGTACCTACCTACACTAAGCTTACAACAAAACTGCGCAAGTTGACAATGATTGTTGCGTATATCGCTGACCTTAGCCAACAATTGTGGCGAATTCTTAAGATTTCCTAAATGACCGATTCCGTCACCGTTATGCAACCTATTTCTAGATAATGAAATAGTAAATAAGATATTTCACGAAATTTAATGGACGGCTTATGCATTGGTTCAGTACAGGCAATTTTATTAAATTTGCAAGGAGCATTTGTGTTATTCCCCAGCCTTCAATTTAAGTAAAATATTTAAACTTAAATTCACTTCAACTCAATCAATTTAACTAAGCAAAACCCTAAATGAAACTGCTGGTTCTATTTAAATCTTCTTGTACCAAAGATATAGAGGAAAAAAGCTTTGAAAACATAAGTATATATAGTGTAAACATAAGTACTATATACTTGAAAATGGTGAAAGTCAGATAATTTCCAATGCTTGATGACAATTCCGTACATTTATTTAACTATAAAGAAAATAGGTCGTAGAAACGGGCGGAACGGTCTCAAAATAGATTTTATAACTTCGTTTGAATAAAAAGACCCCTTCTAATTTTTATTGTTTTTCTTTTCCAGATGTGGGGATGTTACCTGTCAAAGAGTAAGTATCGTTACAGCGAGTTCATAAGTCAATGTGTACTTAAGTGCGCAGTTGTTTGATTAAATTATTGGTATTGCAGCAAGGCTCATGAGCAACTGTCATGGCAGTTCGTGTCGGAACGCGCGTCGCTGGGGTCTGACGTGTCCTCCTCACCAACGCTTTGTCACGACACAGACAGACTCACAGACATGCGTCTCTCCATACTCGTGCCGCCTAGAGCGAAGCTTGGCTGCGGGTCAGTATTGTACTATTATTCCACATAATTTACAGCTTTATTATTTTAGTCCTTAAATTTCATATATACTTACATATATTGTGTGCTGTATTCTATCCTTCTGGACAAATTCTGTCTATAATATTAAAAGTCAAAGACATGGGACTGGAAAATGGTTTAGAGGTTTCCATAGATGTAACAGTTATCGGATACATACAGGATAACTTCTTTATCATCACGATATAAACATGATACTCAGGTCTTTTTCAAAGACTAGAGAGAAGCACGTTATTTATGAAAAGTCAAGAAAATGTACAAGCTTCGTATTAACGTTATGGCAACAAGAATATTAATAACAAGAATAAAAACTACGATAGTAATTTTCACTTGATAAGTTATAATATTATTGCTCATTTTCCGGAATTAGTTTCCAATATTTTGGCACTGGTTGAAATGAAACAGTTCATCCGTGATCATGGCGCTGAACTGGTTCAGATGAAACAGTTCGATAAACATATTGTGATTCTAATTTACGCAAACTTTATACAACGTAACAAGTGTGTTTATTAATTTAGTATCTTCATGTTTGTTACAGAATTTGCAAAGGTCCAGATTGGAAACCGGGTATCTTTGTACAATTCGTACGGGATGGCGGCATCGCTCGCGAAGCAGGATTAAGACCGGGAGACCAAATCTTGTCCTGCAATGGTCTAGATTTTACAAATGTCTCTTTCAACGAAGTAAGTTATGACAGAAAAAATGATGTCCAAATTTAGCTTTCTTTAAAAAACTCGAGGGTTAATAGAAAAAAGAGTTTAAGGCTTTCTTTGATTAAGTTCATTTCTAGTAGTAGATCTGTGTTTCTAGTAGTTCGGCTTAGTTAATAAAATATGAAATAACATAACCAATAGCCCGTGTGAGTCATAGGTGTGTGACCCTGACCTCGACCTATTGATACACTCTACAATTAAACTGTATAAGCAATATTTTATTCCTATAACTGGCACCACTGCCTTCACTTGTCCCCTTTTTTTCTTTTATGTGGATCTTCTAATTTACTCATCTAATACTAAAAGTGTCCGGTTAACGGCAACTGACTTGTGCAGTCACACACACTTGCCCCAACAGCAAAGGACCGAATATGTAGCAAACCTTGGGAGGGGCCTATGTCAGCAGAGGACGTCTTTCGGCTGAGAGAGAGAGAGAGAGAGTGAGAGAGAGAGAGATATAGAGAGAGACTTGAACCAAAACACATAAGTGGGACCTAAATTATAGACAAATGTGGGCGTTACATACATCTCTGCCTATCCCCTCAGGAATACTGGCATGAATGCGTGTATGCAAATTTACTGCTTATTTTCATATCACATCACATCACCAGCTTTTAACAGTCCACTGCTGGACATAAGCCTCTCCTTAGAAAGGAGGTTTTGGCCTACTACTTATTTTATTACTCTATAATTATACATATATTAAAATAACTGAGAACTTTTCAAGAAAATTTCCTCGAACTACCTACTACTATAATCTGTGACACAAACTGTCCTTGCCGAACTTTTACGCATTTCAAACCTTCAAGAAAAGAGCGTACTCCCTCTTCAAATTTGCTTGCTTATTTCTATAATTTGCTTGTGACTCCTGATTTGCACGATAATGACACATGACACAAAAAAAAATTTGCTCTCGAAATGATTTGTATTATAAGACATCATAATTTGTAAAACATAATATAATGTACTTATTCCAGAAGATCCTCTCTGCTGTTATACTATTACATTTTAATTTAAAAGATAGTAGAAATTAATTTTAATTTTAAAAGAAAATCACCGACTTTAATGCACCTAAATCATGGTTGATGGTTGTAACATATTTGTATTTTTCAACCCTTCATTTTTAAACTCATGTGTTGTATATAATGTACTAGCTGCACCGTTCAATCAACTTCTGCAAATGAAGGAATATTTTTTTCCCGTTTTTGCAACATATTTCATTGAGGCGCGCCTCAAATTGGTCGTAGCGTCATGTTGTCATGGGTGCGTGATGTAGCTTATAGCCTTTCTCGATAATTGAGCTTTTTCGATATGAACCAGTAAATCGAAAGATAGCGCGTTCAACCAAACAAACAAACAAACTCTTCAGCTTCATAATACACATTAGTATAGATTAACTCGGCTTCACTGCGTACCGGCTTCGATAACTAAACACTACCAGATGTCTTTTAAAAAACATCTTATAATTTTCTGCCTGCTTATAATGCTCTGCCATAAGTAAGTTACTGTAAAATATCAAAAAAAAATAACCTGACTCAAAAACTTAGTGAGGTTTAGGCATGGTAGTTGTTGAGTTTGGCTTAGTAATCGGCTAGTGTAACGGCATAAAACAAAACGAAATATTTGAATATAAATAGTTTTATTGCCTTTTGTAAATTGTAATTATAATTTTTCTGCTGCTAAATATTGCACAAATCACGACAACACAAGTTTGACTATAGGTATTGGTTCCATCCCACATAAATACCCTTTGCTGAATAGCTCTTGAAAGAATACATCGCCCCGATAAATGTGCAGCAGCCTTTAATAGTCCACTGCTGGACATAAGCTTGTCCTTAGAAAGGAGGTTTTGGCTTACTATACCTCGCTGGCCTGACGGGTCGGTATAGGATTTGTGTCAAGTTTTCCTTCTCTCTACAGTGCTGTTGTACTGCGTAGTTTTCTCAAATAGTCGGCTCTTACGACACCCACGGGAATCTTAATCCGTCAACACACGGACCTCGTTCCTACATTCTATTCAAGCTCAAATGCTTTTTACTTGACTAGCACTAATTCCTCCAATCAAATAATAGCATGTGGGAATTTTCTTGGCTTAAAAAGACTGGGAATCTTTTGTAAAATGAATAATCTTTGGAATATTCCTTTTTAATCGATTGATCACTACACAAATAAAATATTGCTACTCTTTTTCTTCTTCCTAGCCTTTTCCCACTTTAGGTGGGGTCAGCTCTCCTTACATTACATACATACATACATACATACGGATCGGGGAACGGAACGGATACGGAACGGGCTCTGTCCTTCTCATGACGTATTCGTACCACCTCAATCTCCTTACCGTTAACTTGCTCTGTATTGAAACCACCTTAAAAGTGCCACAAATATATTCGTTGCGGGCTCTGTCCATTCTCGTATCTCTCCCAGACCACCTCAACATTTTAATTTCTGCGGTGTGCAGTTTGATGATGTCGTTCTTTGGTAGCCCAACATTCGGCACTGTACATCATTGCCAACCTAACCGCCGGTTTATACACTTTGCCTTTTGTGTGTTCTAGCATTCCGGTCAAAGCACTCTAGTCAAACTTGGCCATGTTTGCTATAGAAACGTTAACTCTTTTTGCTATGTCTGCATTTATATATCCGTTTTCAGAAATAACCGAGCCTAGGTATTTAAATTGGGCTACTCTTGGAATTTGTGTAGGGAACACCAGGGTAGTATACTTGGTCAACTATGTAATCCTGGTTTGCACTGAAACGACAAACGAGGTGTACGGTCTTCGTTCTACTAACCCTGAGTCCGGCGTTTTCTAATGAGTTCATCCAATGGTAGAAAGCAGTTTGCATATTTTGTGCATTTTTAGCAACCAGAACAATATCGTCTGCATAGAAGTTCCAAGAAAATGGAGCCTGGACATCTTTCGTTACAAGATCCATGACGAGGTTAAATAGAAGTGGAATCAGTGCAAAACCTTAATGGACACCTGACATATTTCTGTTATGTTACGTGCGTAGCACTCAGGCAGCTCTTACGCTCTTGAAACACTAACGTCCAAGGCGCTCGGTGAAAAGCTTTTAGAGGTCTATAGAAACCATATGAAGGCCATCCCGGTTCTCACGATGTTTCTCCTATTCTAAAAAGAAAAAATATACGGAGCTTGCGAAGAGGCAAATATTTTACTGGCGAATTTACTTGTTTTTCTTGTTTTTGCACTGCGGTGTGATTAGGATTGAGTGTAGTTCTTACGAGAATTTTCGCACTTCCCTTTTTCTGATGATGATTTCGATTTCTTTGTTATTATAAGACCACACATAATAATATTAACTATTAATACACTCGATCGACACACCATTCATTGGTAGCACTGTTATTTAATAGTACTTACCGATAAATACTTTTTTAAGGCTATAACGGCAATGAAGGCGACTGGGCGCCTGGAACTTGTGATACGAGAAGGTGCAGGCACTGAGCTGGTATCTCCAGAAAGTTCAGGGTACAATAGTTCGGCTTCATCTGCAGCTGGCGAAAGGAGTCCAGCACCGACTGCACCTCATGTTCCACTTGCGCCTCCTGCTGCTCTACGTCGAAGGCTCGCAAGCGTAGCTGAGGAAGCTGCTGACCGAGCTGACAGGTGAAATGACAATATATTTGCATTCGTGAATATATATAACGTTCAATATATAACATTATTATGAATAATGGATTACGAAACACCAGTAAAATAGTTAAGCGACTGACTTTCTCCATCTGGTAGTCCTTCTTATTTTATATCATTTAGGTAGTAGTAGTATCAGTAGTTAGCAACATTTATTAATAGACTGCTTTTTGTTTCAGATTAACAATGAGTAGGTTAAAGCGTAGAACATGGGACAGTTTAGACTTCGAATGGAAGAATGGCGACATACATAACTTTGATATACCTTCCGATATAGAACCCGACTATGATAGCCCCAGTATACCAAACAATCCTCACACTTATGAAAACAAAAGTAATTTGAGAAGTAAAAATAAAAAAGATTATATAACCAGTCCCTCAAATAGAACTATTATAAATCTAACTGAAGATGGAGCTACCATACAATGTAGTTACGATAACAACCAATCGCCAAGAAAGAACACTTTTGCAGCAAATCACACGAACAGAGACAACGAAAAAAAAACTATAGTAGTTGAAGTTCATCATACGAGCACTACTACATGTGGTAAAACTGCCTGCAATTATCCGCCGCCTATGAAAAACGATTCTGACTCCATCAGTCTCTCCAGTTCTGCTACATTATCGAGTGCCATTGCTGATGAAATACAACGACGTAAGATGGTAAATATGCAAGGAGAAGCTGTGAATAACTAATATTCTTCTAACAATCAAGAACCCATAGTGTGACTGATTGCTTTGTGTGATAAACAACGTAGTATTCATGGCAATGTATAAGTAAGTGTATTGTGTGTACGTGTGGTGACAGATTAAGAATACGGAATGTCACCACCCCTATTCATTCCGTGGGTGTCGTAAGAGCAGACTAAGGGAGCAAACTATGCAGCACAACAGCACTGCAAAGAGAAGGAAAACTTGAAACAAAGCCTATACCAACCCGTCTGGCCAGCGTGGTCTGGCCGTCTGGCCAGCCAAAACCTCCTTTCTAAGGAAAGGCCTATGTCCAGCAGTAGACTATTATAGGCTGTTGATGATAAGTAATTTGATAGTTAACATGCCTAACATTGTGTGCACACAATACGTATAAGGTAGCCTCTTTTGCGTATAAGGGCTTGAATTATTTAAGATGATACATTTCTATAACTTCATCATCATCTTTTAAACAGTCTGATAACATGTGTGTGTGTGTGTGCGTGTATGTGTATGTATGTGGGGTGTGTGGGAAATTACAATAGACGAAATTATGTTAGACTACAATATGAAATCAAAATTACAGAAGCAGCGGTAATTTTTGTGAGGATAATAAATCTTTGAATGAGATACCACAATACTAATCCAAATAGTAAACATCTATTAATGATTAACAAAGTTCTGTCAGTAAAAATGACCTTCAGCCACATTTTTACAGTGTGTGGTAAGCATTTTCAAAATAGAGAATGCTGTCAGTATATTTCGTCGGGTTAATTACCAGCACATTTCCGAAATCATGTGTTTTGTGATAAGTATTGATGTCGAGTGGTAGGGAATCCTAAAATCTTTCTAAATCACTAACGGTAAATCTCAAATTTTAGTTGTAATAGTCAGGAAAGCAATAATTCCGATATGAAAAAACAAATTGTATTAATCTTCTCGAAATCTATATTGGTTTATTCAAAAAAAGTTCCACTGATACTTTGATATCTAAAGTCCACTATGGACGTATCAACTTCATCACATTCCACTCGTTCCACAAGTAGCAATAGCCATCTTTTGACAGCTTCACACACTTTACAATTGTATACTTTTAATCTCCTTTTATAGAAAGGCAAGGAATCGTTTCTGCATGGGGTGTGGTGAACAGCTGGTATGTCACACCAGCAAATCATTTTTACCTTATTCTATGTCTGCTCTTTTCCTTAATCTGCACAAATATATTTCCAATACCATTGTGGTACGACAAACAAAGTGAGTATTGATCTATCTTTCTTGCAAAAGGCAATGATAAACTCGTTACTAAAAATGTGTTCATAAGAACCTTGCTTGATAATTGGCTTGTTTTCTGATGACACATTCTACTGCCGATACATCATTGTCAAGTTTAAATCACCATCAAGGTATTCTTTTGATAAACTTGCCCGACCATTTTGTCGTATCACAATGCTGTTGGTGAGAATAAGTTACCGTTAATGCACGATTATGATCAACATTTGAAGGTAAGATTTTTTTTGCAGATTAAAGAAAAGAGCAGATATAGCAGATTAGAAGTTTTCAAATATACTCGAAATTGATGTTAATTTATGAAATGTTCCGATACAGTTTTTAACACACGATTTATACTTTACTTTTCATGAAATATTGTCAAGTTCTTATTGTTGTACTTATTCCAAATTAATATTAAAATGAATAACTCAGAATACGAAGAAAACAAACGCAGCCAACACACCACCACCGCCACCACCGAAGAAACCTGTTATTCTAAAGCCAGGAGATGAAAAGAAAAAACACCATGACGCGCTAATGGATGAGTTTAAAAAAGTTCATCGAAAGATGTTTGCAAATCAAGAAACTGACAAGAACAACGCGGATGTTCAGAAAAATGACAGTGAAACAGTGGTGAGTGTGTTTTATAGTATACGCTTATTAATTACACTACCGACGCGATATCGACGCGAAAACATTATCTTGAATATTACTTAACACTAATTAGATGAGAATTTAGCATGTGGATGTCGGACTGGAAGATTACTTGAGAATCATATTCAATTTACACATATAATAATAGATGTGTACATAAAATATAATTAAACAATCGTCAGTAATCTAAATCTTAAAAATTAACTATTTTCACTTTTATTTTAACTACCAACACTGTCAGTTCATGATTTCAATACCAAGATATGATGTTACAAGTCATTATTTCTTACTTGCTACACTGCTTACCGTTTTCACCTTTATCAGATGAAACTAATATGACTTAAAAGACAACCAGCTCATTAGCGCTTGAAAAATAACTCTTCAGGATAACGACGTATTGTTTTCAAGGAGCTTTGCATTGTGTACGACGCATTGTGAGATGTATATGCAACATTGTCATAGTAACAGTCTGACGATTGGTCTAGAATGTCATGAATAAAGTTTATATGTGTGCGTAAAGTTAAGTATTAAGTTAAGTATCCCGTGGTTTAATAAAAACTTAGAACGTGTTAAAAATAATTAAGGTCACTTTAAACATCAAAAAAAAATACAAAAAAAGGTGATCCTAGGATATCAACGAAATACATGAATTAAATGGCAATTTTTATGACTAATAAAGACGCAAACGACAAAAGAACGATCTTTAAAACACCAAGATAATAAAATCGATCAGTTATTTATAAACCATATTGGTGTAGTTGGGAATAGTTGACTTAGACCAGAAATATGCAGTTTGTGATAATGGGTTTAACTTAGCTTTTATTAGAATTATAAATTGTAAATAATCTAAATTTATTATTTAGAAATTTCACCTAATAACTCTTAAGGCACCTTCTTAATGGTCTAACAATTTTTTATAATGAAAGATAGTTAGGTAATAATAAAGATTCTTTTAGATTTCTCCTAGGATACCTTCTTAAAAGGCGGAATCAAGTGTTAATCCATCACAATCAGTGTTAGTTTAGTTAAATATTAATTAAAATTTTCTCCTTTAACACTTTGTGTTTCTTTCAAAGGGGGTGCTTTTTAAATATATTTTTTGTTCATTTGTAATCAATTGTAATTTTTATTTTACTGATTATGATTTTAGAGACGGCAGACGCCATTTTCTTAATTATTTTACTAAGACATAACATCGCTTAGTATCAAATCATGTAATGCGATTGATTACTTTTGTTTTAAAGTTATTTTAAATGAAGATCAAAACAATAGGTTCAGTAGAAATTTATATTATAAACGGGTTATGACATCATCTTGGCACGAAACAAACTATTGCCAAATCATTTACTTTGTGCTTGGTTTGACAAATTAAAAAAATAACAAGCGTGAAAATACTTTATGGAACAATTGACTGAGGACTATTTCATAATTTATTTTAACCGTATTAAACAATCCTTTAAACTATTACAGAGTACCAGCTACTTGTAGCAAGTAGCTAGTAGTACTTATTGTAACATCAACAGCCTATAACAGTCTACTGCTGGACGTAGGCCTTTCCTGGGAAGGAGGTTTTGACCACGCAGGTCAGACGGGTTGTTTTAGGGATTATTTCAAGTTTTCCTTCCTTTTGCAGTGCTCTTGTCCTATGTAGTTTGCTCCGTAAGTCGACTCTTACAACACCCACGGGCTGAATAGAGGTGGTGGAACTCCTTGTTCTTAATCCGTCACCAGACTTAGTAGTCACTTGGAGCACTAACTACTAATGCTTTTTAGGTGAATTATATTACGTAACTTTTAATTTGAAAATTAAATATTACCTCTTTAATTATAATTAGTAATTATTATACCTATTTAACTGTAATAAAATGTATCTATATATATATATATACTCTACGTCTGTGATTTAGTCACCTAACATTTGTAGAATATAACAATTAATTACTTGTATTCATTTCATTGCTCCTTACAAGCTTACTTCGTCTGTTTGAATAAATTTAGTTGCTTTCTGTTTTAACAATAAAAAACGTAAAGCAGGGAAAGTCATTTTAAAGAAACTTGATTTTAAATCTGAGGAGAAATACGGATAGGCAGACACCAAAGAGATTATATAACGTATCGTATTTTTATCGAAACGAATTATTAATGTCATTATTGTCAATAGCTCTGGCACACACTATTGTTATTCGTTCCATCGATGCGGAAGTTAATAGCACGGAAATTCACATGTTCATGTGTAATTTAGCTTTGATTGCTTGACGTTTTGACCTCATACTCTGATCGTAATTACAAGGGGCTTATATTACCAGGTATAATTTACTTACATTAGTTTCATTTTCTTTCACAGCAAAAAACTCTAACAAATCATTCGTCGGTCTTTTAAACGCGTCCATAACATTTAGTTCTTTTTTACTGTTCACATCTCTGTGGCTTCCTTCAACTCCCTTCAAGTCAACCTAATTAAGTTAGTAATGAAAGAACATATTTTAGTGTTCTTAAATAAAACGAACGGCGTACCTTAATTAAAATCGGAGAAACGGAAAAAATCTATGAAAATGTTAGAAATACACAAGGGGAAACCATGTTTAAGTATAACTTGAAAGGGGTAAAAGGTAGGCTCAATCATCAACAGCCTTTAATAGTCCACTGCTGGACATAAGCCTCTCCTTAGTAAGGAGGCTAGGTAGGCTCAATGCTTGACGCAAAATATAAATACTTACATTCGTAAAAAAAAAAAAGAATTCGGATTGAATGACCGGACTGAGTCTTAAGTAGATATAATATTTTGAGCCGCCTTAAAAAAAGAGGTTCTCAATTCGGTCTTACTTTTTTCAAATGTTTGCAACCTTAGAACTCCGTCTTTTATAAACTGATTTGAAAAATACTTTTTATTTATGAGGCTGAATTGTACTACCCATTCTTATTCGACGAAAAAATACCAACCCTAAGGGTGGAAGAAAATAAGAATTAATCATGAAGAAAACAGATTACTACTTTATTAAAAGTATAATATTATTAATTAATAGATAACAAACTGAAAACATGGGAACTGACGGCAAAATTTTACATTCACTGAAATAAACAATGAATAATTAAGCAACGTTTGAGTGTTCATTAATTACTTTATGTCACAAATATCAGTGGTGGCAATTTTTTTCTAACTTCATAGTTATCTAGATTAAATAACATTTAGATTGTTCAAGACAATGGTCTTACGAAACAAATTGGGGTACTTTGACACGAATCATTTATAACTACATATATGCTTACGTAAACTTAAGAAGTTATTGGAGCATTACCAGTATTCTCGAACTATACACGACATAGGTAAGTTGAAATTTGCCTAAACTTATGGAAAATATAAAAATCATTATGTACGCTTTGTGCGGGTAATGCATGGGGCATTACCCGCACAAAGCGTACATAATGATTTTTACATAAATGATTTATACAGATTTCCGTATTATAGAGGTATTGTCTTAGTGTCCTAATTTGTTATTGTTATTGAACCTAATGTATATTGAAATCCCTTCAAGGGTGAATGTATCGACCTGACAACAATCACTTTTGTAAACCTTGTATTATTTTCAAAGACATAATATGTTCAACGATATTGTCATAAACATCTACAAAAATTACTAATTTATCTATCCTATTATTATTTATTTATCCTATGGGTGTAATAAGAGCCGACTAAGGAAGCAAAGGACGCAGGACAACAGCACTGCAAAGAGGTTTTCACTAGTCAATGGCACCCTAATGGTGCTTTACATCCTCCAACGTATTTTGGTAACTCTACTTTTAGAGCTGGCTTTTAAGCCATCCGTAACAAACAATAAACCACCGCTGCTCCAAAACATTTAGTTTAACTTAAATTTTCCTTTTAGTCACCAAGCCTGTGAACATGATGATGAGCACCATTGTGTAGTATTTGGACGTAGATAGACGATAGGATGAGACTCTTTTAGCAAAATAACGAAGTTGATTAATAGACGGAACGGTAGTAGATGTTGTAAAGGAAAGCCAACCAGAAGTAGGTAAAGGACTAACTGACAAATTTTAATAGGTAAAACAAATGGTCAAGCATATGAGTGGTGATGGCCTAGCCTAGGCTATAAAGGATTATAGAAACGCCAACAATATAGCTCCTTGTAACTTCATTGGACTTAATCCATATAATGCTCATCTTAAGAGACTTATCACACATCATATTGATCGCAAACATTTTTAGATGGCTGCTGTGTTTCCTATTTAGAAATACAAGTGTAAATTTTAGACGTTAGTGCTGGCGCGGTACATATTTTAATAGGATCAAAGGGGATTACAAGTATAACGTGTAGTAATGAGACTTGTCTTCATAAGTACTTTACAGTTACTTAGATTAGTTTACCTTCGACACAAATGGTCCGCCTTGACCGAAGATATACCACGGCCTCATCAAAAACTGGCGTTAAGAAATTCTTTCGATGCTTCGAGTGAGTGAGGTTACCGGAGCCTAAACCACTCCTCCCCTTGATTCTTGGGGAGGATTTAAAGGCTGCAACGCACTTGTGACTCTTAGTTGCAGGCTTCCAAGGGCGGTTATAGGTACTTACCATCAGGTGACCCGTTTGTTCGTTTGCCCTCCCATACCATAAAAAGAAAAAGCTTTTAGTTTAATAGCTAGGTAAATTTTTTAACAGACTTCTAAAAAAGCAAAAAAAAAGGTGGGTCTCTATTCGATGGTTTTTTAATTATGTAGTGTTTAAGCGGTGTCCGAACTCCGAGCGGTAATGAACCGAGTCGCTTTTTTTTGTTTACATAGATACTTCTCGTTTGGTCCCATTCAAATTTGAAGAAAATATAAAAGCATAGGGATAGAAAATTATCAAATTAAGAATACGATTATACCTTTGTAAAAGATATTTATGAAATTACGTAACGCTATGCATGTAGAATGTTAGAAAACCACCGCCAATTAGTTATTACAACATTAAATTACG